CATACTCTTACAACTCCTCTTCACATGATCTCCTCCTTGTCACCCTTTCACTGACGTCCCACTCGCCGCGTGCTTCCATTTCGGCTTGGTTCCACTCGAGCGATGGCCTAACACGCGCGCGACGTCACCCAGCGGACTGCTCAGCCGGGAGTGTTCAATCCATCTCCACTTTCTCCTGCATATTTGCTGGTTGGCGACTGGTTCTTGTTTTGTTTGTTCCCAGACATAGTTTCTTGTTGGTGATTCTTTCCGGCCCGGCCATCTGATCTTCATTATAGAACCAGAGAAAACAGTTGTTGATAAAGGTAACGTCTGCAAAAGGCTGTTGGAAATATTCTTTGTGACCCGTCATCCTGTAAATAATACCCTTTAACTGTGTGACATATATCTAAAAAACAAAAACGAAACTAATATGGAACTACATGCTGATATAGAGCCCAAATTTCTCACACACACAGTTTGCCCCCTTATGAATCACCTCAGAGAGTCAGATCAGTTCACACCAGTCAAGTGCTGGCTGGTTAGCTCTTTGGGCAAACTCATACTGAGTGTTAGTCACCTACTTCTACGTTTCAATCAATAGAATATAGCATTATAAAACTAGTGCTTACTTTCTCGGTGAGGAATTACCGAAAAGAAAATACGTATTTGCTTCAAATGTGTGTGTATGTATACAGTCTAATTATCATAATGAACATAAAAAGATGATTATTGTGACTGAAAAGTCTTGTTTTTACGCGAATTAATTAATTAATACATTCACACTAATTCAATGAACTTTCTAGAAAGATCAAGCCAGATACATTTAGGTTTTTCAGAGTAGTTTCTGTTGCTTTTTTGCATAGAAATCAATAAATTGTCTAGGTTTTTACTGTGCAGGCGAATCGATACGCGTTGCGGAAGAAGTGACTTTTATGGTCTAGTGCACAACGTTTTTTAGTGTCTGAAACTGTGAGTGAGTGCTGAGTACTGGATTCCTGGTGGGAATACTATCACTTGTTTATCTGGATTCATGTGCATTCAGATAATAAGTCTAAATTTACATGTATATGCGAGAGCATTTACATTGAAAGGACAGAAAGAAGAAGGGTGTGTCTACGATTTTCTGAACATGTATCAAAAAGCTTACGTCTAAAGGGAACAAATGCTTTGTTTGAACAGTGCCATCGCCAGGCATCTCCTCGACACGGGCCATAAGGTGGACGTCGAAAAGTCGTCCAAAATTATCAATAGGCAAAAGAACTCAATTTTCCTAAAGTTTGCTGAAGCCATTCCTATCAAGCGCATGAAACCTGATTTATACGTCCAGAAGGAAGCGGTTATCAGTCTTTCTTTGCCCTGTCTGGTAACTGGATATTTTTCATCTCTCTTTCATATGAATGCGTACTGCTGAAAAGTTTCTATTGTGTATGATTATTATTGTTGTTTGGAATAATGTTTAATATTACATATGCTGTATGCATATACTGATCGACTGATTTTTGTTTAAAATGAACTCTTTGCAAGTAGGTTAAAATTGTTTTTGTAAATATATTTAATAATGTCTTTGGCTTGTAAGCAGCTGACGAGAAGGCAACGAAATAAACACTGGTGCTACACCACTTTATTCTGCTAAAACTGCAGTTTTTGCTTTGTTTAAAGTCCATAATAGGATGAAACCTTACTCAGAGATTCACCACCAACCAAACAATAAAGGTTAAGCAGCTGATTTTGTCGTCAATTTGATAATAATGATAATGATAACAATAAAAGTTAGACAAGATATTTTCTAGGAGTAAATGAAACGGTGAATTAATGGTAACAGTAGAATTCGGCACCGTTTTCGCTTTTCGAGTGTAATACAAGGTTGAAAGCTTTTACCAGGTTCCTATAGCCCCGTTGCCGACAGGCTGAGCAACATTTTGAAATGCGTCAGTGGGGAACCAGATCGAGCATGTGACTACCAAATATGCTACCATTGGACCATTCATTCATCTCATCCTACATTATTATTATTATTATATCTTTTAGTTCCTAGAGGAACATAGGGCTTCTAAAATCTCGTTTGCGATTTGGGCAGCTTTCCCAGTCTCGTACATAGTGCGGACGTTCCATGTCCCCACACAGACTTTTTCTTTTGGTGCAAAGAGGTTCATCGTGCTGAAGTTTCTGTAGCAATTTTATTTACAGGGTGGGGTTGCTAGCCTCATGCTTGAGAAGGGAATGGTTACATTCAGATAAAGTTTAGAGAGAAGCGACCTTTTGGGTTGCTCCCCTTAAAATCGGATAACAAGGAATAAAACAATCAGAATAACACCAGCAAAAGGAAAATAATTCACAGCAAAAAGGGCAAAAGGTGACAACAGCAATACAATACAACAACATGCAATACAGTTAAGCACAGTTAACTAAAATAATACCAAAACCACAGACTCACAGTCTATGAACAACATATAGATCCAACAATATATACAATTTTAGATATGAGTTTATGTTAAAAATTTCACAAACCCAAACAGTTAGTTATAGGTATTATCTGTCAATAAGATTATATCCACAGTTTTAGTGTTCGAAAGGTAAATAATTGTAATAATTTCCACAAACTCTTGGCATGAAATTCTACAGAAACGATAGTTTTTATGAAAGTGAGGAAATGTAGCGCAGTAGTCGAAAAGCGCGCTTGATCCCTACCCTCATCTTACATTGGATGAGTTTATCTAAATCTGTCTATCTGTTTTTGACATAGAACTTTGCATCAATGTACAGCAGTTCAAGTCGCCATACCCCATGTAGCACACAAACCCACAAAAGGAAGTAGGAGAAATGCATACTAGAGATAGTAAACAGAGGAGTGAGACAAAGGAATAGTAATAACGAAGAACATTATAGTTTCATTGGAAGTTATAAGTCACAAGGAGTGGATGCATCTGCGCCACTGAGAACGATCACTTTGAGCCATATCACTAATTGTTTCCAGCCGTCATTGGTTTTTACTGTCACGAGGATCCCAACAAGGGAGTCTACACCTTCCTACGTGGCTGGTTGGCTTAAACTAACTGTTGTGGATTTCATTGACTGATGAAACCATGTTTTGGTTTGACCACCTCTAGCTCTTTTCCAACTTGACCCTATGTCAGCTAACATTTCCCATTTTCGAGGAAGACGATGGCTAGGGATGCATGAATTACACATGTCCTAACCATCTCAATCGGTATAACTTCACAGCCTCGTCGATTGATTTCCTTTCCTTACCTAGCATTCAACCGCCACCTAACCTGAATATTGGTCACCTTATTGTACCACTTCACACGAGAGATAGAGCTTAGGAGCCTATTATCAAAGACAGCTAATCTCTTCATGTCTTCCACTCTCAGTGACCAGATCTCACAGACATAAAGGAGGACGAAGTGGACTTCTGAGCAGTACTTCCCAAATAACATCAGCCTCAACTGTCACTCTTAGATAGAAAGAGATGTTATCTAAGTAGGTACGTGCACTGACTTAGTGCTAATCACTGTATAACGTGGTGACCACTATTTATTGCTGATGACTACACCAACGTATTCATAAGGGTTAACAACTTGTTATATATACAGGTTTACTCCTACCTGGGTTTTGATGCAATCTTCCATATATATATATATATATATATATATATATATATATATATATATATATATATATATATATATATCTGAGACTGGTTTCATATCACTGAATCTTGGTGAAGTTATGAGAACGTAGAATTTTCAAAGAAAAGGCGTTCAGTGAGGAGTTACTCTTTTCGGCGGCTTTCTACATCACATAGGATTTTGACTAGATCTATACTAATAAATCTATGGTCAGGTTTAATAATCTAGGAAAATGCCTCGATCATTGCAAGGCATGTGAATACATGCAGTTATACAATACAGTAGGTGGGGGGGGGAGGGCGGAGAAACAGGGTCGAAGTATTCAAAAGTTATATAATTATTTGAAGGGTTAAAAGTTGTTTACAAAATATTCGCTGGTTAATTCATCTCTAAAAAATATGAATTTCCAATTGAACATAGGGCTTCATGCTTGATTCCTTGGATCTTAAGAAGCAGTGTTTTTATTATGAACGTTAGAATTGCTATTCTCATGCCAGAAATTTTCCTCTGTTAACGGAAACTACCAGTTAGGCGTGGTTTGGGAGTCCATAGGTAAGGAATCAATTCCTGGGACTGTATGCATCACCGGCAGGCATTCTATCATTGTGCGTTGGTGGCACAGTGGTTAGGACTCTCGCCGACCATGCACATGGTCCGGGGTTCGAGCCCACCCCGACGCACACATGATATCTATGGTCGGCCTGCGAAATTTGGGCTACCGATATCCACGCTGAAAATTCCATACTTGTACCAAAAATACAGTGTGGAATCAAGCTGTAATCAAAAAAAAAAAAAATAGAACTATGGAGGCAAAGTATTTCTGATCAATTTTGTTTATTCTGCCTAATTATTTCAATCGAACCTTGAAACCAAGAATCTTTGTCACAGTCAAACTTTAGGCATATTCTGATTTAAGGAAAACAAACACATTTTTGATTTTAAAGTGTAAGTTAGTTAACACGGAACTGATTGATTTCGCTTTTGACAATGAATTGAATTCATTTGGAGAACTGTTCAAAATAACCAGGGACTACTGAAAGCCTGTTTCGCCCTGGTGCTAGGGACAGTTAGGGCAGTACCCTCAAGTTACAAGGCTAACTCGCACATCATTGGAAAACTGGCAGAAGTTAGAATTGATAGCCTATTGAATTGCATCCCATTGACCTTAAGGTCATCGGGTCGATCCCTTTAAGGGATGGGGAACTCATGTTTGGGTACGTTTGTGAAGTGTCCTAGACAGAAAAGAAACATCTATCTAGAACATCTCGAGTTATTTTCAACGGTTCTCCAACTGCAATCATTTGGTGGTCAAAATTGAAAGTTTTCTTTTGATTTTTAAAGAGATATTTAATTTCCAATCTTTTTTCCAATAATTTTTCCTTTTCGTAGATACTACTGCTTACATCAGAAGATAGTAATATATGGAATTTTTATTGCTGAAATATACAACTACGCGCTGATCAATACACGCACACTCACACACACACACATATCAAGGTGATAACAGATATAACACACACACACACACACACACACTTTTCCCAGATTTTTCTAATAGCCTATTTCAATACCCTTCTAAAATGTGTAGAGTAATTTACTTGTATTTGATACGAGCTACTTTTGTACTTCACCTTTTTTATCCTTACTTATTACGTCTACCATCCATCTGTCACTGCTGATTGCATGTTTACAGAAAGACATGGTAGCCTTTTGTTATCAGCATTGTTTTTATGGATACATCTCTGTGCCTTGCTTGTGAGGTCGACAGTTGACTCTCATGGAACACACAGATACACGCACACGCGTACATACAGATATATACATACAGACGCCCTCAAATCTTTGCATATCAATGCATTCAGCACATCATACGGTTGTTCATTTTGATTGCTTTCTCGCTTTTTCGACCTTTCTCGAATGATTCACCTCTTTTTTTTACTTATAATTATATATAATAATGTCTTATGAATAAATATTAGTTTATGTTAAATGTTTTAAAAATTTCAGTAGACTGGAAAGTTAGACAACTACAACAGCCACAGCCAGCAACCCTAAGAGGGATCTTGAACAGTCAATCAGAATTCTTTAACCTATTCCAAAACCATTCAACGGGTTCAAGTAATGGGGTCGAGAAAGTTGAAGGAATGATTACCTCGGTGGTAAATGCAACTCAAAGATGGATAATCATGACCATTCGTCCCTTATGGACTGTGCTTCCTAGCATGGTTAGGTGTTGAATTATTGGTATTAATGTGGTGATACTTCTAGTTGACATCGCCTCCACAAAACCTTTACGTGGTTGGTGAAGTATCATAAATTTTAAGAACCCACACTTGATTCGCATTGCTTATTTTAAGCACAGTTTCATCTATTTGGGGGATAATTATAACTTCACCCACACAACTAGTATTCGTCTCCAACTTTCATGATGCTATCTCTGTACAGTGATGATACATTTGTACTCTGGAGACTAGGATGTTTTCCATCTGTGTTGCCGCTGTTCTCAATGGCCTTTACGAAAGGCAATAGTATCTAAGATGTAAAATGTCTGAGAAATACTGTGCTTACTCGCCCTGACAAACTGATTTCCTCCTCTAACAGGCACTACATTTATGGCAATATTTGTCTGCTGCATGGATATACTGCCTTACTGGCATATTTTCCCAAGTACAAATATTTCAGAAAACACTAATCAATCCATATTATTCATACAATAATCAAATATTCGCCCTGCCTTGAACTCTTTCAGCCAAGCGCGGACATCGGGAATGATTTTATTTGTACCTCTTCAAGCTGATTGGTTACTCAGGGTTATGTTTTGCGGACCTTTTACTCTACTAGCTTGCATAGTTTAACTTTGCCTAGCAGTGATGAGGTTGAACATATCCTGTGGAGACTTTTCAGTAACATAATACGAAGAGGAAGTAACAAGTTGGGTTTGAGTTCAAGTGTGGTATACAGAAGGCCATCTGAAGAGGAACTAGAGGCATATGGTCACATGTGAATTTGCTTGGAAGTGATGGCAGAGGACTAGGAGGTACGGGAATGTGCTGCTAAGACCTTATATTCCACCTAGAAGTGAAATAATAAAATAATAATTATTTTTATACGCTGTTACGTTTGTTAATACTAACTGTGATGCACTGAACATCTCTTTGAAGTATACTGTGACTAATAAGTTAAGTGATTTGATATGAAATTCAGGTGTTGCTTTGTTGGGATTTGATTGTTTTCAGGATTTCATCATGAATCAGCATCGATTAAAGGACCACTGGAAAATCTACAGGGAGTACTGGACAGCTGTTTCGTCCTAGTCTGGAACATTTCATCAGCATACATCCACCTACACGATTCAAATCCAGGACCTTCTGGCTATAAGAAAAGCTGGTAAATCATTGAACTACTGCGGTCCGATCCAGTGGTTCATTAATTCCAACTTCTGCCAATTCTCGATATGGTGCGACCATTAGTGAATGTCATCGGCAAGTAATTTTCTTTACAACTGATCTGCTGTACTCCACTGGTCACGAATTCCCACCTACCTCTAACCGATATCAGTTCATAATGAAATCCTGAAACCAATCAAATCTCTGCGAACCAACACTTAGATATCAATCTGATGTTTGCTAGCAACTGGTCCTATTCAGGCAGGTAGTTCGTGACCAGTGGGGTACAGCAGGTCAGTTGTGAGGACGAATACTCGCCGGTGAAATTCGCTAGCGGTTGCGCCATATCGTGAATTGGCAGAAGTTGGAATTCATGGGCTGTCCATTGGTGTGGGCACCAGTGGCTTAATGGTCTAAGAGCTCGCCTTGTAATCAGAAGTTCCTGAGTTCGAGCCCAGGTGGTGGGTGCGTACTGCTGAAGAGTTCCAAACTAGGATGGATGTCCAGTATTCCAAGATTTGATATGGCTTTGAAGTATGCATTTATGTAAGATTTTGGATTCATGAATTTTCATTTGCATTCTAAGTCCTAATGAAACTAACCCTTAACAGAATCTTCATTTTGTTGTTATAAGAAAGCTAGAGCCAACTGCCAGGAAACCTTGCACCTAAGTTTCGTGCTAGTTGTGTTCATCAAGACGTATCAGGAAGAAACTCATGTCCCTTCTGAGATTAAATTACACATCACCCAGCACTGCAATCACAGACATTACCACTGTACTATTTAGGCTCGCAACTGCTCTGATGTAGGACTGTATTGGATATTTTTGACTGGACACTAGTCAGTAAATAGTGTGATGTGTTTAGCTCACTGGTGAAGTCTCTGACTGCAGCACTGGCTGGCGACGCGGGTTCGAATCTTCGAAGGAGGGCTACGAGTTCCTCCAAGGTTGCAGATACGCCTTGCTGATTGACTGGTCAGTGCCAACTAGCACGAAACCCAGCTCTAAGGCTTCCTGTGGCCGATTGCCTCCAACCATGTTGTAACAGCAACTCATAGCTCTCTGTGATGGCGAGCCACCTTGAATAGTGGCCATATTGCAAACTTAACTGACAGAATTCGAATCGTGAAAAATACCCATGGAACATTAGATTGAAAAGAACAAAAAGTTCAGCAAAGACGGAGATTTTCCGGCGGTTTCATTCTCAAAAGCAGCTGTACAATCGCATTTATATAGCATTTAGTTTACATGGATACAATTATTATTTGTTTAATTCCATATAGTAACGAAGGTGATAATAGTAATTTTCAACTTGATATGAAAGTTTGAAGGCGTAAATGAATATAGATTACAAGGGGCGTAGAAACAAGATTGCATAGGATTAGAAAACAGTTACAACGTATGCAAGAATTAATATTTGATAACTGGAGAAACAATTTTAAAGGCGAATAAAAGGTGATAATTGTTTTCAACTTGATATGAATTACAAGAGGTGTAGAAACAAAGAACTACATAGGATTAGAATATAATTGTAAAATGGTTAGTTATTCTAAACGGATTACAAGTGTGATCAGGAGGAGCATGGAAACAAACTTGAAATAACTGACTTAATAACTGAAAAAATATGATGAATTGAATGAAGGCAAAGAGAGAAAATTCCACGCACAGATAACAAAACAAAAAAGGAGGAGGCACTGGTTCAATCAGAAGCACAATAACTGAACACCTCGTCAATACCTGTCACAGAATCTCAACTGACTCATCATTCAGAGTCATTTACAAAGTAAACAAAAATCTACCTACTAAAGGCAGTGTGTTTCCGACTTCTTTGTACTGCGGAAGCTCTCGCCATACGCATCGAAAAGCCGGAGCTATGTGTTCAAAAGAAACTAGTCCAGCATTTACAACTACCACGGACCGAATTTGGTGTGTTCCTTTTTCCTCCAGTTTTTTTTGTTTTGTTATCTGTGCGTGGAATTTTCTCTCTTTGCCTTCATTCAATTCATCCCATTTTTTCAGTTATAAAATCAGTTATTTCAAGTTTGTTCCCATGCTCCTCCTGATCACACTTGTAGTCCGTTTACAATAACCATTTTTACAATTATATTCTAATCCTGTGTAGTTCTTTGTTTCTACACCTCTTGTAATTCATATCAAGTTGAAACAATTATCACCTTTTATTCACCTTTAAAATTATTTCTCCAGTTATCAAATATTAATTCTTGCATACGTTGTAACTGTCTTCTAATCCTATGCAATCTTGTTTCTACGCCCCTTGTAATCTATATTCATTTATGCCTTCAAACTTTCATATCAAGTTGAAAATTATTATTATCACCTTCGTTACTATGTGGAATTAAACAAATAATAATTGTATCCATGTAAACTAAATGCTATATAAATGCGATTGTACAGCTGCTTTTGAGAATGTAACCGCCGGAAAATCGCCGTCTTTGCTGAACTTTTTGTTCTTTTCAATCTAATGACAGAATTCGGTCTGCACCAAAGATAGAACAAGACACATCACACAAGTTACTGACTAGTATCTAATCAAAAATAAAGAATCTTCAAATCTGCATCATCCGATGCCATAGTTGGGAGATTTACAAATTGAAATTAATATATATATATATATATATATATATATATATATATATATATATACATGAGTTTTTAACGCATCGATCATGTTTTGTGTCAACTTTTGTTAGCAATATAAAATACACCTTCCTTAAAACTAACTACACATATGGAGTTCATCGTATTACTTGCATAATTGTCGATTTGAAGATTTACGTTCCATAGTATTTGGGACTAGTCAGGTGGATTGCCGTCAGTTCCCGGTGAGATTCGAAAGCAGAATCTACTGTGTTTCAGTGAGAATACCAGCATTCATTAGATGGGACGCAAATAAATCCAGATGACGAGCTGCAAATACGAAGAAATCCGCATCCCGAATCCACTGACAGTCACCATGACATTAGTCTGAAAGTGTTAAAATGTCAACAGATATGGAGCATTTTGGTCCAGCGCAATCGATCCACACGTAATTCATAAGTAACGTCAACTGAAAGATGCATGTTAACTCCTGGTAAGCACTATGTGTACAGTTCTAACACTGTTCATTGTACTGTTTCACCATAATGGTATCAACAGCCAGTCATCTTTCTTTTTCTCCATTTCAAATTTTGATTAGAACCAAAGACTAGGGGGATATATATTTTTACAAGTTTTGGTTTTTGCGGGAATTTGAATGATTTCAAATTTAGTCATGAACTAACTCTACTTTAAAAAAAGTCCATTGCAAACTGGAGAACACTGAGTAGCCCTTTCGATATGGCTCGAAACTCTTCAGTAGGAGGCATTCATGATTCAACTGGAGGGGATCGAGTCCAGGAGTTTCACATTAAGCGGTGAGCTCGTATTTCGTTTAGCCAATACAAATGAGCATAATGACCTCTAAACTTTAACTTCTATCAATTCGCCAACGTCGTAGGTGAGTATTTGTCCTTTCAGACATGTTGGTGGTTCCTGTTAGTTATGGGCTCCCACTAGAACTTTATGTGCCACGTTATATTGTAGTCAGTTGTTAGTTTTGG